CACACACACACACACACACACACACACACACACACACACACATGGAAAAAATGAACTAGCTTAATGTCTAACTCAACATTTCATGAAAACACAAAGGTTGCTCCAAATTGTTACAGTATATTTAAATAAATAACGATCGACGTCGAAGTAAATAAAATAGCACGAGAAAAATCACACTAGAAAAGAACACACAGATTTACGTGGTTAAGCAAATTGCCTACATCCACAGAGTTGCAGATGATTTTACTAATTGAGGAAACTTATATCAGTTGATCACAACGATAATGACAGAAGAAAGTCTCCCGCTTTTTCACTCTCTCTTCTTTCTTCTCTACATCGAGATACACCGAAAAAGAATAAGAAATACAGAGAAGAAAGAAGAAGAAAATTTGAATAAAAGAAAACCTTTTATTCTCTTTGGTATCCTTTTATCTTCTTCTCATACACAAGTCTTCACAATACAATTTAATTTGCTCGCTTCTTCTTCTGCTTTCGAACCTAAAAAAGAAGTCTATTCTCTCCGCAAGTATGATGAAGAAGAATAGGATTAAAAGGTTTTTATTTTTCCTTTCAAGCCACAAGCAAGAACTCCTATTACCCTTTCCGCCCCCAATAACTTTTTCTACAATTCTAGTAGATTTCTTTTTTTCTTGCATTTATGATGTTGGGCCAACAAAAAACGAAGGCATGCCTCTTCCAAAGTAAGAGGCGGGAACGGTTAAAGGAACACAGAAAAAAAAAAGATGTTTATTTCACTTAGCTTTTGGGGAATAGTGAAAATCGGGCTTCACCTAACAAATCTCCTAATTTGAGATCGGTACACAGGAAATATCGTTCCTCTCCTCAAACTGATATCCTCCACCGGTAGCGTAGCCCTTTTCTTCAAACATGAATCCACCACCTCTGTAACTCAATGCCCCGTCTTCACACCAGAAGACCAACTGAAGCTGCGCACAACTTCAGTTTTTCCAAAGTAACACCATTTGTCAACATATCAGCAGGGTTATGGCTTCCACAAATTTTCTCAAGCAACAATTGTTCGTCATCCAACAATGACCATATGAAGTAATACATGATCTGAATGTGCTTAGTCCTGTGCTGAAATACTGGATTCCTGGCAAGGAATATGACGCTCTGACTATCACTGTAGAGTATGCCCATCTGATCCTTTTTGCCTAATTTTTTCAAGAAACCATGTAGTCATATCATCTCCTTTGCATCCTCTGACACTGCCATGTACTCAGCTCCTATAGTAGACGACGAAACTGTCTTCTGCAGATTAGAGCTCCATGATACTGCAGTGCCACCAACAGTATAAATATAGCCCGTAGTTCTTCTTCTGGTATCAATGTCTCGAGCTAGATCAACATTAAGATAGCCATGTACCTCTGAACTCTTTCCTAAGAAACACAAGCAAGTTTCTGCAGAGCCTCTTAGGTACCTCAAGATCCACTTCACTGCTTCCCAATATTCATTTCCTGGATTACTCATGCTTCAGCTATTAGTTCACTTATGAATGTTATGGTTTTATCTATAAATAGATGTGTAACCCTACGGGTATGTAACTCTCCCTCTGAAATACTAAATTCGCCGCTCGCTCACGAGGATGTAGACACCTTTGCTGAAACTCGTTAAATCTCTATGTGTTCTTCTGATTTGTGTCGATTCCCATATTTTCTTCGCCCTAAATTGCATAACACAAATTACCTTAAATTATTTGATTTTTAAACAACTTTATTTATTTGGGTTGATCACAAATGTTGATCGCGAATATTTTTTAAATAATTAAAATTAGAAATATCTTTTAATTTGACACCACTCGAGAATATTTATAGTAGTTAGTTAGGATTAGGGCTGTCAAAAAAGCTCTTTTTTCGCGAACAGTTCTTGTTCGGCTCGTCGGGAAATTGGTGTTCGATTTGTTCAATAAGCAAACGAGACGAACACAAGCTTTTTTTTTGTTCGGTTTATAAATGAACCAAACACGAACAATCATTTGTTCGATCGTGTTGGAATCATTATTGTTCGAAATATAAAATAATTTAAAATAACTATAGATATATATTATCATATTTATCATATTTTAAAAGTAATTATTTATTCTAAAAATTTATCATATTTTAAAAAATTAAATTCTATAAATTATAATCTGATCTTCAGGTTCACATTCAGGTTCACATCTTAGCTTATATTAAATTCTATAATTTCGTATTTATCTTAAAGTTCATTTCTTAGCTTAAATTTTCTTATATTTCTTTTAGATTTATTTAGTTTCTTTGAGTTAAACATAATTTTTAGGAGTGAAATCTCGCATATTGCCTCTAGATCAGAATTTTTTTATGTATGAGAGATGATATTATGGTTTCATTGTGAGCTAGCTTCGACTATTTTGCATGTGTTGTGATTCATACAGGTTTAATCATAAATTTCCTAAGTTTAATCTTTTGAATGATTTTGAATAATTCAAATAATACAAATAAATTTGTAAGATTTCGAAAATGACATGAAAATCTTTGGTGATTCTATTTCAGGAATAGTTTGTCTTAGAATGATCTATCTCAATGCATTTATTAAATCTAATCATAAAGCCTAAAAAATTTTTTGGTGGACACTCTAAATGCTTAAATAAAAATGTTCGTCTTAAGATCATATCATCTTAGATGCAAAGATACAACCCGTAAATTACTCAATGATCATCATAGTTTCTATTTTCGTCAGATCATTAGCATAACATTCAAATGTATGTGGCTCACGTATTTTATTTCTAAAGAGCATGCGATGGTAGCAATATACAAAAATAACCCGCAAATTACTCGATGATCATCACAGTTTTTGAGATATGTATGTGAATCACTACAAATTATAATATATTTGTTGAGAATTTTAGGGCAAAGAAAAGCAAGAATCGACCCAAGTCTAGAAAGAAACACAGAGATTTAATGAGGTTCGACAAAAATGCCTACGTAATCCGGAGCAGAGCGATGGTTTTTTCTTCATTTCTGAAAAAACGTACGAGTGATACCCATAGGATTACAATACATCATATATATATAGCCCTGGCGAATATTATATAATTTCAAAATTACCCTTGTATCGTACCGGGGGGCAACATAGGGTTACAATACATTATATATATATATATATATATATATATATAGCTCTGACGTATAATATGTAATTTTAAAATTACTCATGTACCGTACCGTGGGGGTGTTGACCCCGCAACCCACCCACATAACGAAACACCCCCTGACTAGACAGATGTTTCCGCTCTACTCCGCTCGCTCGTTCCGTTCCGCCCCAACATCTATCCCTTATTTGATATATGAGTCATACCTAACAATATTTTAGTTGCGTTGTATATAAATAATTTATAACTTAGACGGTCTAAGATCTAATACGTCAAGATGCATGGTCTTACCAATTTGGATATGAGCTCATTAAAATAGTTCGCTAATTATTTTTAAGCAAACTCAAAACAACTCTGACTCAACTATCCAAATGATAGCATTCCATGCAAGCATTGCTAAGCAAATAAATGCCACGCACTCCTTTGAACAAGTCACATAGTTTTTAATGAAGAAATGGATTCAAGACGGTAAGAGAAATATTCATTCTCCAAAACAAACTCACTGTTGCACTGCCACGCAGCACATTGAAGTGGTAATACACATCAGCCATTTTAATCTCCGTTTCCTTCTCACCGATATTTCCCCTTGGATGTATTTCTTCATATTTCGAGCCCAGAATTTGGCTGGCTTTTCCTCTTTATCTCCCAGCTTTTGGCTTGCCACGCACAGACTATTATTCCCATCATTCCTCCGTCAAAACCCAAACTTCAATCAAAAGTCTCAACGCCAACAATGTAAGTCCCTGCTAACATTCGAACTCACGGAGACACTCCGTTGATTTAAAATATGCCTATAAAAAGTTTTTTTTTTTTTTTCTTTTTAATTGGATATTTCATGAGAAATATTCTTTGTATAACTAAAAATCAAGAAAATGGATGTTCTTTGCGCAGCTCTCATAGGGAAAAGGAGCTATTTTCAATGAATACCCCCAAATCGTCAAAGATACCACAGCAATCTGACGAGACCGCATCGTCTATGATTCCAGCTACACAAGCAGAGCAAGGGGTAAGTATTGCTCAGCAAAATGAGGCCCTATCGCATTTGATTTCATCTTCACAGGCAGGGCAACAGGTGGGGCAACAGGAACCGCCATCGTCATGGTTCCAAGGTGTATTTTCTCTTGAAAATGGTCATTGGGGCGCTAAAATCAACGATATTCCGTTGGGAACGTTTAAGTCCGAAATAGCCGCAGCAAGGGCTTACGATAGCGCGGCCCTCAAACTCTTCGACAATGATTTCATGCGCAACTTGTTGTTAACGGGTGTTACTATTAATGAGCCTCTTTTTCATAGCATTCATAATAGTGAAGTCATCATTAATATGATTAAAGATGGCTCCTACGAACGCAATTATAAGAATTTCCTTTACTATCGATGTCATGACATCCCCTATGGTGACTCTGTAGTAATGCCTACTTCCTTGGACGCCATAAAAGGGCTCATTTTTAAGGAATTGTTTCGTAAAGAGATACTTTTGACTGAATGTCAGAATCAGAATTTTCTTATTTTACCTACTAAAGCTCAGTTGTGCTTTGAGCCATTGAAGTCCTATAGAGGCGAAGTATGGTGTGAATTTAAAGACAGGACGAATCGGTCATGGGCATTTCAATTATGTTTGCTGAATAATTCTCAGGTTTACGTGTTCAGTGCGGGTTGGAACAAATTTTTTAGGGAGATGGAGCTTCGTGGTAGTGATATTGTCCTCTTCTATCATTATATGGACCTGCGAAATTTTCCCGATAGATTTTCTTATATGATTGATGTCATCCGGGGTGTCAGATATCCTTGGCTGTTGCGGCAATACTGAGCATCATGCATGTGGAAGATTGAATGTTATCTAGCAGTGATTATTTCTCTTTAAAAAATTTGAAAATTTTCTAAAATCTTGTATTTAGAAAAAGATAGGTTTATTTAAATAAAGCTGGAGATTTAATTTTATAGTATAATTAGTACTCAGTAATAAGATTTTTTATGATGTGTGCAAAGTGCGGACACAATAGTTATGGGATGCTTTTTCTCTTCAAACATTAATTATTCATAAACATTTTGGGGGTGCAAATTGTTTTGTGTTATTGTTAAGTGATTTGGTTAAGATTTCTTTCTTCTATATTATGAGCCATGCTGCCATGTTTATAAGGGCATGCATAAAATCAATATTAGCATGGCCACTCATCCTTCATGATTAATAGAATGTTTCTTAATAGTTTTATTTTTCTTCATATCAAACACAAAAGTAAAAATTCTTGCATGTACTTTATAGCAAACCAAACACTCCAAAATATTGCAAATACACTACATTTCATTTGTACTACATTTCTTTAATGATATATATCTTTTTAACAAAAACCGAACGGGCCCTATGTAACAAAGTGTCCCCCCCAACTACCAAAAGGATATTTCTATGAATGCACAATGTAGTCTAAGCCTGTCTTATTTGCAAGTGGACAAAGCCATAAGCTTATAACTTTTAAACCTTAACGGAGAACAACAGCTTTGAATGAATTACAGTGTGTTGTTAATGAGTTTTGAATGTTAGAAAAATAAATATAAAATTTTAGATGTTGGATATGTGAATTGATAAGTTTCCAGTGGTAAGTATGTAATTTCACTTTGATTTTTTATATTTAGGAACAAAAACATATACATGAATACAATTTTAATTTAAGTATGTTTACAAACATATACTTTTTATGCATCTAAGAAGTTGATTAATTCAAATAATATATTTATCATTTATTTGCAAATAATTAAAATAAAAAAATATAACTTTTAATAAAATTGATAAACTATAAAAATATAGATCAAATAAAAGTAAGCACCAATTAAACTAGATTATGTTAAAATTAAAGTAGATATAAAATATACATAAATCCAATATAAATCTTGAGAAAAGCTATAGAACAATGAAATAAAACAAGGACCTTTTAAAACCCTATGTCTACCTTTAGAATATATTCTAATATAACACACCTTTAATATTACATCATGAAATTACTATAAAAAATTAATCTCATAAGAAGTAGTAGACTATATGGTTGCCATTTTAAGTTGAGACTTGCACGAGAACAAAGAGGTGGTGTATCGTCATTGATTTGTGCAAAAAAATTACATTAGTAGAGTAACAGATTATCATCTTAGTGTGGTACAAAGATTCAGAAGAGAGAAAAAAAAAAGTAATATTACCATAAGTTCTTACGTGGAAAATTCAAAATGGGGAAAAATCACAGAGTCTAGCATAACTAGAGAAATCCACTATAAAATGGACATGTACAGTCCCACATCCTATAGAAAGGAAATGGTTGAACTCTTTTCGAAGTAACAATGTTAGCGCACGGATGAACTTGTTGTAAAAATAGTAATAAAGTTGTGTATAATCATTTGAGTAACTGAAGAAACCCACTATAAAATGACATGTACAGTCACATTTGCAATCGTAACTGTGTAATCAAAATAAAACACAACAAAATAACAAATGTAAAGTTGCACAATAGAAATAATTAAATTAAATGATATATAGAAATAAAAAAAAATTATTGAATTAAATCAAATGAAATGTGCAACTAGACAATCAAAATAATGTTCGCTAACAATAAATTATTCAATACATAAATAAATAAAAAAATAATCCCCTACTCATCCTCGCATCCTCCCTTGTCCCCCTCCTCCTCCTCATCATCTCCACCCTCAAAATATTGATGTCAGATTACTAGGCCTAAAAATTTTCTGGATGCATGGCACCAAAAAACACATCAAATAATTAATTTCAATGTCAGATCATCTCAGATGCTTATACACAACTTGAAAATTATAAATTGATCATTGCTTGTTTATTTTTAATAATCAAATCAATGACATTCCATTCAAAAATGATTATATGTATGTATATATATATATATATAGTTCACCAAAAAGCATGACACGGCAGTATAGACGAACGGGCATTCAGAAATATTTAAAGTCTTCTTTTAGGAGATCATTGAAATTTGACGTATTATATATGATTTCAATGATATATAGATGAATTTGTCAAAATTTAATTATATTTTAGCTGTATTTTACATCACTATTTTTTTAGCAAGACATTCTACTGTCTAATAAATTAATTTGAGGCATTTCAGATTTGTCTAGGAGCCCATCAATATTGTTTCACTAGTTTATGGGCAAAGGACGAGAAACACTCGAGGCATTTTTTTTTTCTACTCCCCTCCGTTCGATGTATCGCGTCTGTTGTCCAGACACAATTTTGCATCTTGACTCCGAACGCAATTTCCTTTTTCCTAACTCAGAATGACTTGACCCAACTTAAGCAACTATTGCTAACTAATTTAGTTGAAAAATATTTTAAAGACTACAATTAAGAACCTAATTTTAAATTCCCTGTACATTAAATTAAGCTTAAAATTATTTATTTATTTTGCTCCTGCAAATTAGAAAATGAGGAAATTTTATAGATCAACTAATTAATAAATTAATTAAAATAAAGAGCATTTTTAACAAAAAAAAACTAGAAAAATAGAAAATTAAGTAAAAACTGCACAAAGTCTTACGTAATATATATCATGAATTTTGATATCTGTGAGATTTTGAAAAAGGTAGGAAAGTGATGCTTGATTTGTAACAATATTTTGTGTGCTGTGTATGTAATTGCCCCATTTATATATATATATATATAGAGAGAGAGAGAGGGCCATCAACGATTAGTAGACGCCAGAGAACAGTCTCCAGCAGACGGCGACAGGTTTCTTTTCAATCCCATCTCCGATGAGTTGTGATTTTTATTTTTATTTTAATTATTCAAGCATAGCCGCTGCTACTAATTTCTTTATTAAAAATTTTATTTACTTTATATAAATCATTAAGCAGTTGATTTATAAAGTCTTCACATGAAAATCCTTCTGATGATAACATTCCATGCATGCAATGCGAAGCAAATATATCCGACGCACTCCTTTAAACTTACCACACATTGTTTTTAAGAAATAAAACATCTTTTTGCAAAAGAAACCCTATGAAAGTATGAATTCAAAACGGTTTGATAGAAACAGTCAATTCTCCGTAACCAACTCGCCGCCGCACTGCCACGCACCACATTGAATTGGTAAAACAGCCATTTTTTTAATTTAGTTTATCTCTCTCTAATATATCCACTTAGATATTTATTCATACATTGTGCCCCAAATTTGGCTGGCTTTTCCTCTTTATCTCCCACCTTTTGGATTGCCATGCACTAATTCTTATTCTCAACATTGTAAGTCCCTGCTAATATTCTAACTCACGAAGACACTCCGTTGCTTTAAAATATGCATATAAAATGTTTTTTTGTTCCTTTTTAATTGGAATATTTCATGAGAAATATTCTTCGTAAAACTAAAAATCAAGAAAATGGTCGTTCTTTGTGCAGTTCTGATAGGGAAAAGGGGTCTTCCCAATGGATACCTCCAAATCGGCAGAGGCACCACAACAATCTGGCGAGGCTGCATCGTCTATAATTTCATCAACACAAGCAGAGCAAGGGGTAAGTATGGCTCAGCAAAATGAGGTCCCATCGCATTTGATTTCATCTTCACAGGCAGGGCAACAGGAATTTGCACCGCCACCGACATGGTTCCATGGTGTATTTCCTCTGCAAAATGGTCTTTGGGGTGCTCAAATCAATTCCATTCCGTTGGGAACGTTCATGACCGAAATAGCCGCAGCACGAGCTTATGATAGCGCATGCCACATACACTTCGGCAATACTTTCTTTCGTAACTTGTTGTTAACGAATGTCACTATTCATGAGCCATCTTTTCAGAGCTTGTACACCAGTGAAGTCATCTTTAATATGATTAGGGATGGCTCCTACGAACCAAATTATATCCATTTCCTTTGCAAAAATTGCCCCAACTTCCACTATTGTGAATCAGTAGTAATGCCTACTCTCTTGGATGTCAAAAAAGGGTTCCTTTTTAAGGAAATGTTTCGTAAAGAGTTGCTTTTGATTGACGTTGAGATTCAGAATTTATTTATTTTACCTCATGAAGCTATTTCTTGCTTTGAGTCATTTAACTCCAACACAGGCCCAATATGGATAGAATTTAAAGACAGGACGAACCAATCATGGAAGTTTAAATTATGTTTCGTCCATACTCCTCCGCAATACATGTTCACTGAGGGTTGGAATAATTTTTTTAAAGAGATGGAGCTTTGCGTTAATGATATTGTCCTCTTCTATCAATACAAGGACCAACAAAATTTTCCTCATAGATTTTCTTATATGATTGATGTCATCCGGGGTGTCAGAAGTCCCAGGATGCAGCGGCGGCGGCGTTGAGCCTCACTCATGTGGAAGATTGAATGATATCTAGCAGTGATTATTCCTCTTCAAAAATTTTGAAATTTTTCTAAAATCTCGTGTTTAGAGAAAGATAGGTTTTATTTGAATGAAACTG